CTTCCCTCGTCCTCTTCCAGCTAGTAAGATGCAATTGCTTTATAGCCCACCTGTGCAGAGGGGTCCAGGACACAGAAAAGAACCTGGACCCCTGCAGTTTCCCCTACATTAGTATTCTCATAGCAGAGATGCTCCAGCTCAGGCACTGCAATTCCCAAGCTTCAGAAAGCCAGAGATGGCTTGGGTGCTTAAAAATCTAGTGTCTCATTTTACAGAGAGAAGTTTTATATACCACAACCTCATAACTGGGAATTGGGACCCTTATTTCACAAGAAAAAAAAAAATCCTTTGGGGAAGATAGTTATAGTGTTATAAATATGCAGATTCTCCCAAGACACAGATGTTAGGAATGTAAGGATAATAGTGTCATTAGTATATCTTTTTCAGCAATATTCAGATAAAAAAAAAATCTGAAATGTGCTGGAAACTGGCCATGAAAGCTAGAATGCTGGTGCTGTGGAAACCTAGAAATCTTAACTATTTGGATACATGACTCTGTACTGAATAAATATTTGAATCTGGAAGAATAGACATTAGCAACATAGCTAGCAGCAGCAGCACCATGCTGTGAGAAGAGTCATTCTTCCAATCCCTAGAAAGGTTCATATCATAATATTATATTGATGTACATAAATCCTTGCAAAAGATCTGAGAACCTGCAAGTCTTTAATGCTGGCCTTGGTAAAGTCAATAACCAGCAGGATTTCCAAACCACAACACAGGGAGAACGTACACACATCCCTGGCTACAGCCCTTCTAGGGTGCTCTTTCTGTATGCATGCTCAACAATGCCCTAAGAAAACCACATCTTTCTCTTTCCTGATGAGGCAGTATGTGCTGTGTAAAATGTATTGCTTCAAAAGTCTCTTTACAGATGCTTCATAAGGCCTAGAGCTCTAAAGCAGTGACTGTTCATCTAGAATAATATGTGTTTGTCCTTTCTAGTGACTCATCTTTTTTTCACTTCTTTCCCTCAGGCTCCAGTTCTCCCTAACCCATTCCAATGTTGGTTTTTTTGAGGTAAGCAGACAGTTTAAGCACATAGGAAATGCAAACCAGGAATATCAATGATATCAAGGCTAAAGAGTAAGCAGCTAATTCCATCTATATTTCTAAACCATTTGGCTTCATTCCTGGACAGCTTTTTTCCCGCCTTCTGGCTGCCACCTCTATGCTGTTGATTTAATTTTTTTTAAAAAAGTACTCCTTTGGGGCAAGTTAGTCTTCTGAAAAAAGATATATTCTGAAGTTCCCCTGACTGGTATATCATATTTTATCAGCAAGCTGAAAGATCACTAACCACAGCCCTGTAACACAGCAGTAATCTGAACTGTAGCAGTAGAGGGAGCAGTGTGCTGCTGTCTAAGCAATCATATGCATGACTGATGCAGAGGCATTCCATGTGTTGTGATGTGCACTCATCAGAGATGCTCAGAACTACAATATGGAATGGGAGTCAAAATGCTATTCTCAGATGCCTGTAACTCTGCTGTTGCAGCGTTCCAGGGAAAAAACCTGCCTCCAGAGTCATTTAATTCTGAATACAATTACTCAGTTCTGAGCAGGTGAGGAGAAAAGAGTAAAACTACTTTAGTCCTGCTTTGCTAATGGTGTGAATTGTTTCACAAGTAAAGGAAGTAGACTGCTTTAAATGAAAACGTTGTCCAAGCATGATGAGAGCTATTTGCAATTTGCATCTCACTTCCTTTGCATCTCTTTGAAGGCATGAGATCTTTCTGGGCTAAATGAGAGCCAAAAGCTGAATGTGAGCCTATAGTCCTCATTCAGGATGAGAGTATGATGATTCTACTCTTATCAGAAAGTGATGTTTAACTGAGCTTTCTTTGTGACAGGTCTCGCTTCTGGAGAACATCTTGTCCTACATCTTACAGACAGAAGTAATTCCATCAGCTAATGGTAAGGCTATGTTTCTAAGCATCAGCTAAAACCTTCCAGCAGAGTAGTTGTAGTAACTACTGACTTTCTGCTGAAGTAGCCAGTTCCTAGTAACTTCACTGGAATATGATCATCAGCCAATAAGCAGCGGAATGGGGAGATCAATTTGTGGGCTGTAAGTATGGTCGCTCACTGGCACTATTCTGCAGTGTCAGCAGAGAAGTCCAGGGCAGTAAGGTCGTGGAAACTCATCCACCTTTACCTCGTGAAAGGTGGCCTTGATGCATCAGTACAGATGCTTGTCTCTAGTCTGTATACCCACTTGCTGCCTCTGTGTGTGAAATGTATTCCTCTCTGTTATATTAGCCTCTCATATAATCTTAATTAAGGCCCTAAAGAGAGACATAGGCTTGTCCAAGCACTCTGTACTGGGACGAACCTTGCCTTCCTTAATTAATGGAGACAAATGGGAACAGGTTCTAATGATTCTATAGCTGTACTGACAATCTCTCAGGTCATTAAGGACAAATCAGTTAGTATGTGATAATGCATTGAACAGGAAGTGCCTTAATTTGGCTGCAATGCTGCCAAGAGAAGAGCACCTATAATTCTTTCCCCCTTTGGTAAATGAGTATTGTATCTACCTCCCAGGGTTGTCTGTGAAGACTAAGAGGATAATTGTTTTAAATGACCTAAATCTTTGAATAAACAGAAGGTTGTTGAAGGGCGGGTATTTATTATCTTCCTAATGCATCCCTAAATCATTGTGTTTGTCTTTTCTTAAGCTAAACTGTCCAAAGGATTCCCTCTTCCCAATTTGGCCAACATTACTTTGACAAGACCTCGTATTACAATTGTACAGGTGAGATTTTGATACATTTATGACAAGGTTATTAATTTTTGGTGGGGGTGAGGGAGCTAGGCACTTATTCACCTTCTGCTTGTACAAGAAATCTGCTGGATTTCTTTCTTTTACTGCTAGTTAAAAACAAGATATTTTTTACTGTTTAAAATGAGATCTGTTACAATGGTAAAGTCTTATTAGAAACAAAATTATATGTCTTTGAGAGGAAAAACTTGAACTAGATTATATACATAACCACTGAGTGACCAAACATGTTTCCTCAGCCTTGGAAGTTGCAATTCAGTGTGAAAACAGGTTTACCTCTTAACATTTCATTCACGTTTCACTTTCATTCAAGTATCACTTTCCATGCAATACTACTGAATTTAACAGGAATAGTTGAAATATGGGAGGGAGCTGAATTTGATTTTGTGTGCAGTATGCACAGTATGACTGGATTTTGTTAATAACTGCTGATATTGGCTGAGGCTGAGACTATTAACCAAAAGTAGTTAGCAAGCTCTCAGGAAATATTCTTTGCTTCCTGTTTATTCTTCTCCAAATCACACAATATCTATTAAGCACAAAGCACAACTCAGGAAAAGAAGTGCAAAGGTTGTTTTTCACTCTTTCTTTGCAACACCCATGCCTTGCAGCAGCTGGGTATGCAATCCCTACAAGTAATTATTGTTTGGAGACTGCTTTCAGCAACACTAATTGCCAACAACCTTATAGGCTAATTATGAAGGATTTTAGCGGTTTTGTGGGACCCGTTCCCCACCTCACTTTCTCTAGTCACTCTTCCTGTCAGTAATGAGAGTTGAGAGGACACAAGAGAACTGCTAAACCTATTCAGTGTGAATGGGATTCCCAAGTAAAAACTAATTCTAAAGTCTCCACTTCCAGTCCCATTCTGTTGGCTATAGTTCAGAGGAATGAAGACAATTCCTCATGCTTTTCATAGATAAGTATATTAGACTGTGGTGGACTGCTCTCTGAAGGTTTGTTGCTCTGTATGCACTGACAATGGGGGAAAGCCCAAAGGGCAGATTTAGATTACATGAATAATTCTAAAATGACTCAAATTGGGTTTAAAAAAAAAAAAAAGACAATCATCACAAAGTCGGATTATCTAGCTGCCTCAAGGCTCAAATGAACTTTCCTGGGTAGGCTGGATGATCTCTAGGTGTCTCCCATCGCTAGCATGGTGCAAAGGGATAACATACTAGGCAAAGACAGGGCTTTTTTGCAAAGTTTGAAGGATAGTTTAGTAGAACTTGGAAGTAACAAGTCTCAACTGTCTTCAGTAGATTTTCTGACTTTTAACACCAGGATAGAGTTGAATTTAATAAATAACTAAAATATTCTGTAATGCATAGCATTCAGTGACTGTTCTTCTCCCCACAGGGCTATGTGTTGATTTCTGCGGATGTTCACTACAACCATTAAAGGAGAAGAGCAACCACTTGTTGGGCATGAATTTAAATTGATGATGTGACTCTGAAGGATGAGCAACTGTGGCCACTGTGCAATTCTCCTGGAACACCTCACCTGAGTGCTGATGAGCAGTGGCCTGGTTTGGTGGGGTGGGAAGGGGTGCTCAGAAACCTGAAGAAATGGTGAGGCTTCACAAGGGTGATAACAAGCAGACTCGGGGGAAGCAAGACGCATGCTTGGCATTATTTATTCTGGAGTTTATCTGATGTAAAACTGTTTTTAAAAAGATGAATGCCTCTCTTGAAATAAAGCCTTGTCTACACCCTTCCTGAAAGGTGCTGCAGTCTCTCAAGCAAAGAAAAAGTATGTTGTCAAAATGCAGCTAGGGCAGGCATGTCCGCTAATCTGTTTTGACTGTAACAATCTCCAATAACTTCCTTTTGAATGTTATGTACTAAATAGGTGGAGCGGGCTCTCTAGAGCTACAGCAGAGGGGAACTGTCCTGCCTAGAGGGGGAACTGAACTAATAATGTGTTAACAATTCTATTATATGGGTTCAAGAGACCAGGGACTAACTGTTTTGATGTCTTTAGGGCTTTTTGCTAGCCCCTCTCCCCTGGCGGCTCTGAAATCCCCCACACAACACTGCTCAGATAGATTCCTTGAACATTTCGGTACATGTTTTTTTTCCTGAAAAGCCTAATTCTCCATCTTCCAGCCTCAGCTCCTTTATCCCTCCTGCATTTTGCTGCGGGGCCTGCTCCCTGTTCCCTCCCTCCATCCCCCACAGAGCCCGGCCCCACACCGCCAGGGGGAGCCGGGCTGAGGCGGGTTTGTCCCTGGGCGGCCGCCGTCCGCGAAGAGCAACGAGGCTGAGGCGGCGGCGAGAGGGGTTGGGATCAGGAATAGGACCGGGAAATAGGATCGGGAACGGGACCGTGAGGGCGCCGCCATGAGCCGCAGCTACAATGACGAGCTGCAGTTCCTGGACAAGCTGGACAAGAACTGCTGGCGGATCAAGAAGGGCTTCGTGCCCAACATGCATGTGGGTGCGGGGAGGGCTGAGGAACAGGGGAAGGGAGGCCCGGCCGTGCTGACGGCTCTCTCTTTTTCTCTCTTTCTCTCTCTTTTCTCTCGCCCCCCCGCAGGTGGAGGGTGTTTTCTACGTGAACGACCCTCTGGAGAAAGCTGATGTTCGAGGAGCTGCGCAACGCCTGCCGCGGGGGGGGTGAGTGCGTGGGGGAGCCCTGTGGTGCCAGCAGGCCGCTTACAGAGTGCCTCCTTCTGGTATTTTATCTTTATTTTTACGCTCTTTTTTTCTTTTTTATAGGTGCGGGAGGGTTTTTGCCCGCTATGAAGCAGATCGGGAATGTGGCAGCGCTGCCGGGCATCGTTCATGTAAGTGGCTGCTTGGGAAAGGGCGCTTTGCCACGCTGCTGTGGACCAAGGCTGGTTTTAGGGTGGTTGGTGTGCGAGGAACCTGCCTCTGGCAGTCAGGAGTGCTCACAAGGACAGGCTGTGAAATTAACCTGTCAGAAAGGAAGGTACCCGCCTCCTTCACCTCTTGTGAGCTTGCAGCCCTGAAGGCCAGCTGCATCCTGGGCTGCACCAACAGTGGCCAAAAGGGAGAGGGAGGGGACTGTCCCCCTCTGCTCTGCCCTCATGAGGCCCCACTTGGAGCACTGCACCCATGTCTGGGGCCCCCAGCACAAGGAAGATGTGGGGATCTTAGAACATGTCCAGAGGAGGGCCACAAAGATGAAGAGAGGGCTGGAGCACCTCTCCTAGGAAAAATGCTGAGAGAGCTGGGGATGTTCAACCTACTGCTGAACTACTTTCTGCCTTTGCTTTTTACTCTTACTACTCTTACTATTTTCTCCACTGCTGTTATGGTCAGTTTGTTGTTTCTGAGTCACCTCTGCTGACCTGCAATGCCTGAGGAAACAAAGAGACAGCAGAAGGTGACGGTGTTGTCTGCGTTATTGCTGCCCTAGCGTTGTCAGTGAGCCTTCCCCTGCATTCAGCACTCTTCTACCTGGCCCCACACATTTTAGAAACAAAGCAGAAGGATGTAGGAAGAGCGTACTAGGCTGTACCGCTCTTCAGTAAGCTTAAACTTCTGTGTGGAAATTATCTTTTTCATGTTCAGTATCACTTATGTTGATAATTAACCAGTACCAGAATTGTGGTGGTGTTTTTTTTTTAATTGCTTCTTATGGTGACTCAGCATAAGTTTTCAATTTGTGGCTGCAATAAAAGGTTGCCTGTCATTCTGCTAAAATGGGAGTTACAGCTGGCAGTTTGTAGGAGAGGTGTTAGGATCATCTTTCTATTTAGATCTTCACTTATTTTTTTAAACAACATTTTTCCTCGATGGTAAGGGGGTGCAGAAGAAGCACATAATCCCCTGAAAAACATGCCTGATAACAGTGTAACGCCGTTGAAAAGTTCCAATTTCTGACAGTTTTCTGGGTGTTTGGAACTCTTTTTTATTTTATTTAAATAAAAAAAAAGTGGGATTTTGGAGTCCTGTTTGTGCTGCCCTAATTTAAACTTGCCATTCTTTGAAATTGCAGCATTGTGCAGAAGCATGTTCTCACTTTTTTTAATTGTTAGTAATATAAAAAGGTTCAATTAAAAAAATATATATAAATTAAAACCAGATCACTCCTATCTTATTCTGTTGTATCAAAAGAATGACCTTTTCCCACTTACAGCATGCAGCATTTGGCCAATATCTGAATCACATATGTAAGAAGGGAAAACAGACTGTTATATGATATTATTCAGTAGCGTTGAATGCCTTCCTTGTTACATTTACAGTATTTAAGTATAGTGGATGTATCTAGATGGACCTTGGTAAAGACAAACTCATCTTCACTCTTACATCCCTGCTTCATGCTACTCATAAGCTGTTGCCTACATGGGATGTGAATACAAGGACTCTTGGGGCCAGAAAAGGCTATATTGGAATTCAGTTTGAGATCACAGCTCCTACATTTAGGTGTTAAGTGTTCTTGAAATCTGGTTCACAGAGCCAAGGGGGTTTCTCAGCTGCCTAGCCACAGGGTGCTCACTTCAGAGTGAGATCAGCTGCACTCTGCTTTCTTTGACAGTCTCTCCTGTACCTATATATGTTTAGATACTTAGCCAAATTCAGGTGTTTACCTCATTTTCATCTGAACATCCATTCTCTGTTTAGTGTATTGGTCTGTACGTGTGACAACCACGACCATAAGGCAAAGCATAACCGAGCTGGCTCTTAGTGCTGTACGGAGTTTTGTGGAACTTGGAAATTTCCTTCACTTTCTTTCAGAGATCGATCGGCCTGCCAGATGTCCATTCGGGCTATGGGTTTGCCATTGGCAACATGGCTGCCTTTGACATGAATGATCCTGAAGCAGTGGTTTCACCAGGTAAGGATTCTTCTAGACAGACTTAACCTGTACTGAGAAATGTCTGTGGTGGCTGAAACAAAGGTAAAATGGCACTTACGTGTCTTTACACTACTATATATGCAGGACCAAAGTGAAATATATCTGAATTACAGAGAGTTAAAAGGCACTTAAATTCCTGCACTCAGAATCTTTATGGAGCAGGTGGTTACACCGGAAACATCTAAATGGTAGACAGGATTGCCCTTGTGTTTTTTTGGCTTGGGCTTGTTGTATCCCTCAGTCTTGAAAAGACAGCACAAGACTTGGAACTTGTGTTTCTCCAGGTTGATAAGGAATTGAATCTTTTTTTTGAGCAACATTTGTAAACCCTTTTTGAGAATACTTGCACAATTTATTAAAAATGTAACCTTACACTATTTCTGACATTTTAATAAACACCTTGCTTTCAGGGACTTGCTTTTAAGAACATATTATCTCAGAGAACTAGGCTAAGATTTTCATCCATCACTTTTCTTCTGTCCTGAGGCAGGAGAACAGAAATATCCTCTATAATTTCTGTGGACAGTATACTTAATATTTGTGTCCACTTGTTGGATCAAGTAGGGTATGTACAGAGCATACGCTTCAGACAGAAAAGCTATCTGTGTCAGTTTTTAGTGCTCTTTTTTTTTCTGCAAGACTGTCTTGAAATCAGAGGCTTCTTGTAAATCTGTTAAAATGGTATTTGTTGTTCTGCTTTATTTGCAGTATTGCGTCAGAAAGGTGTAAGATCACAGCATTTGGTGCATGCTCCCTGTCAGCAAGGATTTAAGATTTAAGATGAATACTCAGCAAATCCTCACCACCAGCACTCCCTTGATTAACTCTGTGGCTTTTCCTACTCTTCTAGGTGGTGTCGGATTTGACATCAACTGTGGTGTCCGCTTACTGCGTACGAATTTGGATGAAAGTGACGTGCAGCCTGTGAAGGAGCAGCTCGCCCAAGCTATGTTTGACCATATTCCTGTTGGTGTCGGCTCCAAGGGTGTCATCCCCATGAATGCCAAGTGAGAGAACAACTTTGTGTGTACATCAGTAGAGGGGACCTCTCTCATCTTTATTCTGATAAAAGATCCATCAGTGGGAGGCTTTAAAAAAGAGGGAAAAATTACAAACCCAGTTCATGTTCTTTCTATACATGTGCTTCTCCAGGAGGAAAGGAATAATAATCAGCAGTACAGTCACCTGTTTCTTCCTCCATTTAAAGCCTTGACATAACTAAAGGTTGTTACGAGGTTCTTATTTCCCCCAACAGAAAACTTTCTTACGTGTAAAGGTATTTTTGGAAAGGGGTGAGGGAGAAAGCAGGATATTCCTCACACAACAAAGAGGAAAACGTAATGATCTATCTAATGTTAATATATTTATAGAGCTTGATTTTCATGAAGTATTAAGAAGTTGGACTTCCTATTAGGGTAGCTGGGGACTAGTCATAAAATTATAGAATAAGTTAGGGTAAATGGGACGTCTTGAGGTCATCTCACCCAACTCCCTGCATGAAGCAGAGCTGACTGAAGGTTGGTCTAACAGCAAAGTTATATCAGGTTGCTCAGGGCTGTATCTGGTTGAGTTTTGAATGTTTCCAAGAACAGCACTCATGTAGGTGTTTGGTACCTGCAGGGATTTGGAAGAGGCGCTAGAGATGGGTGTGGACTGGTCTCTCCGGGAAGGCTATGCCTGGGCAGAGGACAAGGAGCACTGTGAGGAGTATGGAAGAATGCTGCAGGCCGATCCCAACAAGGTCTCCTCAAGAGCAAAGAAAAGGGGTCTGCCTCAGGTAATGCCATTTCAGGAGGGTTTTGAGTGCTCCCAGAGCTCAAATGTGAAATAAATACTGTGTAGGTCTCTAGTTTTGTATCTTTTCTTGAAGTATTACCTAGCAATTCTTGGCAGGGGAAAGATGAGATGATGGTGCTGTTTCTGAATAATTCTTGACAGAGCTGGAATACGGAGAAACTAAGTGTTGAGCATACCCAAGGTCCCTTGGGCCATCAGGTTTTCAGCAGTTAACTCCCAGTACTGGAATTCATCTTTGCTGGCATTTCCCTGTCGAGATATAGCTTTGTTAAGAGAAAGGCAAGCAGTTTTCAAACTTCTGTGTTTGTTTGCTCAGCAAGTTAACAGCAGGGCAAGGAAGGATGTATTAATAAATGTGACTACCTCGGAACTTTGAATTAAAGTTCAAGGGTTGGATTTCATTTCTGTACGTAGTATGTCATTGCTCTGGGTGGAACTCTTCTGAGATAGCAATAGTAATGCTACCATTGCTGAAGTTTTCTTCTGTATGACTTCTTCAGTTTTATGAATTGTGGTGCTGCACTAGACTACAGCATTTTAACCACAAAATAATCTTAATGTCCTCAGTTTTCTTACTCACCTAGCAAATGAGGAGTCACCTGTTATGGAATTGGAAAAACTGGGTCTTGGAAGTGAAAAATCTTGCTTTAATCTGCTGGAAAGGTTTAAGAACCTAGTTAACAGGATATTGTAATTTCCCTGTGTGATTATTAGCAAGTATAAGACTGCCTTTCTTATACAGACTGAAGGATAGATTCCCAGTGCTCTGTACATTTTCTGTCTTTCAACTAGGCATAAGTCTGCTGCAAAAAAGTGGCAACACAATCTCTAGATCCTGGTCCTTTCATTTATTTGCAGTCTTGTTCAAATGGTAAAAATTGTTATAACTACGAACAAAGAGAACTCTGATGATGCTACTTTATTCTACTTTCTTTTAGCTTGTCATTTATCATCACCCCCTTCCTCCCCATTCCTTGGGAGAGTTTTACTAAAACTAAAGCTTTTCTGTAGCAATTTGCCCTATTTTCCATATTCTGTGCTCCCGGAGGCTGCTTTACTGGCACCGTCTGATCCTTGTGTTGTGATTGGCAGCTGGGGACCCTGGGAGCAGGAAATCATTACGCCGAGATCCAGGTGGTGGACGACATTTACAACGAATACTGCTGCCCGGAAGATGGGCATCGACCACAAAGGGCAAGTGTGCGTCATGATCCACAGCGGCAGCAGGGGTTTGGGCCACCAAGTTGCCACAGGTATGATCTGGCTGGCGTGCGTGCCTTGAGTGAAGCAAACTCTTCAGCATGATCTTGTCACGGACAGAAAATTCCAGCACCAAAAATACCATTTCTTACCACTTGTCAAGTCTATTCCGAGTTGCCTTGCTAGGGGTTGTCTTGCATTTTGTCTGCTTGATTTTGCAAGCCTTTCAGCAATGATAAGGTTCAAACCAAAGTGGTAGTTGTCTTTGGTCTTGCAGAGTATTGATCTTGCTGTTATGGGACAGGATAAAAGATGTCAGACTCATACAAGAGCATATAGAATTCCAGATGGATGCTAGAATTTCCTTTAATATTTTTTTTTTAAACATTAAAATGTTCAAATGCTGGAAATGCCTAGAGATGCTGTAGAACTAGCATCCTTGGACATAGTCAGAATTTGGCTAAGTCCCCAAACAACTTCATCCAGCTGGACCTGCTCTGAGCAAGAGATAGGACTAGGTAACTCCCTTGTAAATCTTCCAAACTAAATTACTGTATGATCAAAAATGGATGGAGATTTTATTGAATCCTGTGTCTAGTTCAGGGACTTTCTTTAAACATATTTGCTTATGGTTGTGAGATTGTAATCTTTGGTATAACAGAGGCAGGCATTTTTGAAGAAGAAGAAAAGACTAAATTCTTAGGTCACAAAAAAAGTATTACGTCTGTGTTTATTGTTTTGAACCCAAGTGAATTGCTTAGAATATTAGAACATATCAATAGACTGACCTGCATTTGCCTAAGTGGAGAATTCTTTCTGGTACACCTCAGGACCTTAACTTTTCTTTCTAAAAATAGTCTTGGGGAATGCTGTTTGCAAACAGCAATGTTATTCCACAAAATTACTTTTGCATTTGAGAGGAAGCTGTAGGTTTGACCACTGGGCAAATACGTTCAGTTTTAGAATATAAATTATAGACACCCATGTTAATCCCATAGATTGAAATAAAACTAGGAAATCACGTAGAAATCTGTTTATTTCCCAGATGCATTGGTGGCTATGGAAAAAGCTATGAAACGGGACAAAATCATAGTGAACGATCGGCAACTAGCATGCGCCAGGATTGCCTCTGTAGAAGGACAGGATTACTTGAAGGGAATGGCAGCTGCTGGAAATTATGCGTGGGTCAACCGCTCTTCTATGACTTTTCTAACGAGGCAGGTAGGAGCAGAGTTGTTGCTGATGTAAATATTGTGATATGTGTGTCCTGCTTTATCCTAGGTGTATGGAATGTATGGAAGCTGCGATATTTAATGTAACTTTTGTTTTTGTGCTTCCTAAGCTGCATTTTATGGATATTTTATGGCCACTAATTTAGTGACCTAAGCACTTGGCGTGGTGGGTCAGAAGCCTCAGTCAAATTCAGCCATGATGGAATTGAGTACAACAGTGCTGAGTGTGACAGAAATGGACTGCCTAGATGGCTTATCTGCTCAGCAGCAGTTTGAATGCTGGAATTCAACCTGGTATCAACTAAACAAATTCTGTCAACACTGCAAAATGGCTTTTCTTGTATTCTATTCTTCCAGTATGAGGCACGCTAAAAATATTGCCTAAGTAGCTTCTGCAAGTGCAATCCAAGTGATGTTGAGAGGTTTTAAACAGATTATCGTCCTGACTATTAATTTATGTAAGTGTTGTTAGGTCACTAAATTAGTGGTAAGAAACATTTTCGAGAAAATCTATTGCTTCTAATTACTAAAAATATTGTAAAACTTCCACATATATACAGCAGTTATCATCTTGTATTTCACATCAGGGTTTACTCTCTTCTTAGGCCTTTGCCAAAGTCTTCAACACCACCCCAGATGACCTCGATATGCACGTTATCTATGATGTGTCTCACAACATTGCCAAAGTGGAGCAACACGTGGTGGATGGGAAGGAGCGGACTCTGCTGGTGCACAGAAAAGGGTCAACCAGAGCCTTCCCTCCTCACCATCCTCTTATTGCTGTTGATTATCAAGTAAGTTTAGCTGGGGGAGAAAGAAATGAGATGAGAATTTTGGATGAATCAGACAGCTTTAGAGTCCTTAACAGAGATCTGAATGCAGATGAATTCTTTAGTTGAGCTAATGACACCAGAGGCAAGCTGGAGTGTTCTGAGAGAATGTGAGCCTGGCCTCTTTTTTTGTTGATGTGGTTCTTCTCGGACATTTATTGATAATATAGGCTTTTGTTTGGTGAGTTAAGACTTGTTTGCATCCACAGCTGACCGGACAGCCTGTTTTGATCGGTGGGACTATGGGCACCTGTAGCTACGTTCTTACTGGCACGGAGCAAGGCATGACTGAGACCTTCGGAACTACTTGCCATGGAGCTGTAAGTCAAAAAGCATTTCAAGAAGGGGTTTGAATGGGGCTGTCATCCAGCAAACAAGGTTGTTAAAGGGTAATCCAGTGTGTGGTGCATCTGTTGGTAATACAGGTAGCCTTGCCACAGTAGTCCCAGGCCAGGAGGATTGCACACTTGAAGTTCTTTGTCCGTTATGGAATAGTTTTGACTACTCCTGGAGAAAATGTAGGGGGTGCTCCTTTATACAAAGCAAAGGTTAATGTGAAGATGTGGAGAATGAGCTGCTCTTACAAAGTCCTGGTATCTCTGAGCTAACAAGCGTTAACAATCCTGAGGCTGTCCTTATAAAACTCCTCAGTAGTTGGAAAAAGGGATTTTCTCCCTTTTTATTTACTGTGTGAGATAAGATGACTGAGGAAGAGAAATAGCTTCCAGTAAAACTCTGAATTGTGAACACTGGCAAGTGGTTTGGGTAGAAAGAAACTTGCAGACTAGCATGTTTACATACAAAACTTTCCTTGCCATCATACCACATATGTGGTTATGCAGAAGCCAGTCACCTAATGTCTAAATTCATTTTCCATTTTGTGGCTTACTGTGCTCTGTGCCCTCAGCTATTCTGTATTTGCTCATAATGTAAACTGACTTGGGACTATGTGCTGGGTACAGCACCAGATGTCAAGCTTTATCCCAAAATATTCCAGGGGTTCTGTTGTAGAAGTCAACTTCCTTCCTTGTCAGTGTTTACAACCACTTATATTTGTGGATATTCTGACAAACATTCTTTCAGTTTTCTTCCAAGCAGTTGGGAATGTAGCTTAGTTTTCCTGTAGCGCATCTGTTGTTTTCTTTTTGATTTAGTAAGAAAGAGTTCTGTTTTTCCAAACTGCTATAAAAAACAGAACTAAATAAACTACTTTCTAGGGTCGTGCACTGTCTCGAGCCAAATCTCGACGTAACTTGGACTTCCAGGATGTATTGGACAAGCTGGCTGACATGGGCATTGCCATCCGTGTTGCTTCTCCCAAACTGGTCATGGAAGAAGTGAGTTTAACATTTCATTATCTGAGAGGGAAAAAGGAGTCTTGCTCTGTGGCTGTATAACCCTACCTGACTCGGTTCTTGGCACTGCTGAGCAATCACAAGTTCCCTATATATACAGCTTCTGCAATTCCTGACAGAGCTGTCCAATTTTCTGGAAAATAATGCGAAGTCTTCTCTGTCCCCAAAATCCTGCTGAAGGGGGAGATGCCTGTTTGACAGGTTTTGAAGGCTATGTGTTTTTTTCCCCTGTTCTCATGCCTGGCAATAGGGTTAATTAGCATCTACCCTGAAAAATCTTTGTGAGAGCATCACTAAAGTAGTAATGTGTTGTGGCTTCTCTTCCTTATGAATGATATTCTCCCAGCTTTACATTTACTGCACTCTGTAGTTGTCATGTACATGTATATTCATAGCAGTGTATGAGAAGTCCACGTTTTAAGAGAAATTCCTGTATTTGCTCAAGAAGAACAAACTTTAAACGGCAGAAAACTTGGATTATTATGACTTCGAGTTCTCCTACATTAACGTGATAGGATGTCTCTTGTGTTGACAGCCTCACTCATGGAAGTGCATTAATCATTTGTAGCTATCCTGTTCTGGGTGCTGGAGTTGCACAAACATATTGATCCTGTTAAAAATCTTCATTCAGGGGTGGCTTCCTGGTGCTCAGGGGGGAGCTCCAGAGTTCAGCCCTGATTCCTCCACCAAGAGGCAGTGAAGATAAATCCTAAAGGCTATTTATTTGTAAGGAGGAAGTTGGAGTGACTTCCTGCCAGGTGCTGAGGCCTGACGTTCTCACATGCTGTGGGTTTGGATTATCTGAGGATATTGGGAAAACTGAACCAAAACAGATAGCATTTTATCTGAAATGGGGATGAAAGCTTATTTGTAAAGCCAAGTATCTCGTAGACTTCAGATGTGTAAAATGGCTGGATTTGCAATATGTTCACCTATTTTTACATCCTCAATTTCCATGATTCAATTTTTGCAAAGAAAAGAAGGGATATCAAAAGCCTACCTCCAGCTTCCTGCTGGACTTTGGGTTGTTTATAATTTTGTCTTTTTTTTTTTCTTTTCCCCCTCCAGGCACCAGAGTCTTACAAGAACGTGACAGATGTGGTTAACACCTGCCATGACGCTGGCATCAGCAAGAAAGCCATAAAATTGAGACCTATTGCTGTTATAAAAGGCTAGAAATTGACAAGGCAGCAGAAACCCAGTGACATCTCCAGGCCTTTTGCAAAGCTGACTAGAATCTTCCCATACTTCTTGAAGACTGTAACATGCTCAGATATCACATCCCTGTTCTGGAAACACAGCAGTGGAGGATACCCCTATTTTTAATGACTTCTACACAAAATTAATGCCCCCCTTCCACCTCCTTGTTATATGATGTTCTTTTCTTGGGACAAAAGGGTAAAGAAATCGGTCTTGGCTTTTGCTATGCAGTCCCTCACCCGTTTGGCTGATTATTCCACAGGTAGGACTTCCGACTTGCCTGAGTTCTCACTAATTGCTGTGCTGCAAGACCACCTCCATCAGCAAAGATGGACCTGTCTCCACACCCGAGTGCCTGGAGCTCCTCGTGCGTACAGAAGTACTCTGATCGGCAGGGTATAGCCCTGCTGGGCAGGGAGAGGTTGCTCTGTTTGCAGATGGGTAAAAAATAGGGAGTTGGGAGTGGTCTCCCTCTTGGGTTGAGAGGGATTAGCCAGGCTTGAGGCGCAATCCACCCTCTCCCATGTACCACAGCCCCTGGTGTACGTGGCTCAGCCCAAGTCGGTGTTCTGCAGTCTTCTCTGACTGGTGGTAGGATTCGGTTTGTTTCTTTGCAAGGTTTTGTTTGCCCAATAAAAGTTGTGACTTAACAACTTAGAGACGTGCTAATCCAACGTTTTGCAAAGTTAAGCATGTGTTAAGTTGGATGGGATAATGTTTGCTGTGTCCTGCAGCTGATCGAAGTGGGTCATGTTGCAGGGTCAGGCCCAGTAGGATGTGACTGCTTTCAGTCAATGTTTCTTTTATGTTCATTAAATGAGACTGGAGGGGGGGCTGACTGGTAAATCATATTGGGAATTACAAATAAAATGGGAAGATGGACACTGCAGTGTGTCTGTGTTGTGTTTGTTACGTGGCTGGAATGTCTGTTGGCCACCTCTGAGGACCAGCTTGGTACCCACGACATCTTGTGGCTTCAGCCAGTGGACCTTGCAACAAAATGTGCAGATGGCAGGGTTTTTTGCAGGATACAGGGGAAGGGCAGTGCAGTGCTGTTTGGTCAGCTTGGTTACGAGCGTGGTAGCTATCAGCTGTCTTTCTTGGGGCTTGCTGGGTTCTTAGTGGGTAGGTGGAGCCTGCCTGTAAGCCTGCACGCAGACACAAGAGGGCAGCCGGAGGAAAATCGAAGCAAGAATGGAGCCCTGCCAGGGACGCCTGTAAAGGGAGCAGATAGTGATGACTTGACTGCCTTCTGAGGAAACTTCCCTTTAGGTTTAGGATCTTAGCAGACACCTGTTGATCCCGAGATGCATAATGACATGTTGCTGTCTGAATCACTCTGCTTAGTGGTTCCTTATGTTGCAGGATTGTATTTGTTGCAGGTTCACAGGCAGCACATTCAGTACTCGTCACTGCCTTGATTCCTTTTGGATCCGACTATAAAGACAGGGCCTTGTTTTCTGATTTCTCCTGTGGAATTGCTCCAGATTATCATCTCTGAGGTCTGAGACAGACTCACTGAATTTCAAACACAAATAGTTTCACAGTAGCAATATGAATTAGCCTCATGGAGCTGCTGACTGAAAGACAAATTGTTGGTCTCAGTCTTCTGCTGAAGTGCATGTTCCATTCAGCAGCTTCTGTATATAAATACTGCAGACTCTCCGATGTGAAATGCAAGGGAGCTCTTAAAACATTCATATTAAAAAAAAAAAAAAAAAAAAGCATTTTGAAACAGTTTTCCTTTCCTACGATTGCAGTTTTACCTACCTGTGCAGCTGAAACAAATTTCAGTTTCTTAATAAGCAGAAATCCTGTGCACCATGTAGGTGCTTTCTCAAATACATGCCTTAAGCCTCTTCTGATCATCAGCATTCATGCAGTAGCCTTTAAGAATGCAAAAAGTGATGGCAATTTTGGTTTCCTGTTGCAAAGCTACTCTTAGTTTTGGTTATATATCTTGCTATACAGAGGAGACGGGTGGTTTCCTAACCCCCTAAAAAGTGAGAGTAAAAATGTAAGACGTTGCCCAGTCCTGTTACTTGTATTTAAATTCGGATGCTGTTCTAATTAAAAACTGCCCTTTTTCTCCAGATCGGGCTGTCCACTGGCTCTTTTTTCAACCTGCATTTAAAAAAAAATAGATGGGTAAGTTAGGATGGCAGGCAGTATTACAATTCAGATGCTGGAATACAGGTGACTGCAGAAGCACTTCTTCAACACCCAAGTGCCCATGTGTTCACCTTTGGTGAATAATTGTTAGGATTTTTTTTTTCTTTGGTAGAAAGCCATAGGTAGGAGGTGTGAGCCTACCCTACGCCCTGGAGCTGTTGCATGCCTGTGTCTAACAGCAGGTACTTAGGCCATTGCCTGCCCAGCAGGTCGATTCTGTCACCTGCAGCAGAAAGCCTGCTGGCCCTGGGGCTTGCAGGGGGTGCCTGCATTATATCTGCTTTTAGCCAGTGCAATAAAATCAGCTCTTGGATGCAGGTTTTGTCTTTTCAGTGAGGAGAGCTTGCTGCATTTATCTTGCACTGTGCTTGAGAACAAGATGGTTTAGCTTACAAATTGGACCTGCCAAAACAGAGCTACTTCTGCCTCTAGCAAGCAGAAGGCACCTTCCTTTCTCCACTGGCAGGGCTCGCTGCAGTGACTGGTGCTGTGCAGCGAGCATGGGTGAGCACTTCCTTTCTTGCCAGGAACCTGCTGCTCGTGGCGCCCTCAAAGGCTTGTGCAGGTGCTGTTCCTGTCGCTGTCAGTGCAGCATTAAGAAGCAAACAGAAAACGCACTTCAGGTTTTTGTTGATGCAGGGTGATTCAGTCCTATAAATCCATCCCCAGCTTGCTGGGGCACCCCTGGGCCCTGTGAGAGCCCCCCAGGCCAGGCAGTTCCCCCCTGTAGTGCTTTAAGCAGGGGATGCTGTGCTTTATTTGCCAAAATACCCATTTGGCCAAATTTTTGGCAGCTCTGGGGTCCCAAACCATGTCCCAGCAAGGTAGGAGCTTGCACTGTTATTTGTCACGGTGTGTTTTTGTGCTGGTTGGGAACGCAGCGTCTAACCTGTGTCATGTTTATCGCTATCCTGAGTCTTTTGGGAATTTCTCCTATCTCTTGGCTCTCCCAGTTTTAAACACAGCTCCTCGCACACGCTGCTTCCTCCTCCGCTGGTGGTCCCGGGCTGGTGTCCTGGCCCAGGAGGAACAAGTGATCTCTGACACATCTCTGGCGCAGGCACCCCCGGCCTCTCCTCCGCTCTCCTTTGTTCCTCTCAAACATAAACACACTTAACTGGCCTCTTCTCCCTCCGCCCCCCAGCCTTCAAAGCAATCTCACAAAGCGATATCCCTCCCGCAGCATGTGCCAGCACGCTCCCTTGCTTGCAGAGGGAACGCTTCAATTACGCAGAGGGCCCTGCCCGCAGCTGGCATTTGCTTTGCTCTCTTGAGCCCTGTCCTAGCTTGAATGGTTTTGATCACCACCGACTCCAGTTTTTTTTTGCTTGGAGAGGTGGCAGCGGGGGCTTTGGGGCAGAAAAGGAGCAGGAGGGCTGCAGGTCCCCAGCCAGAGGCTGAAGGCATCTGCGGCAGGTGCTCTGTCCCCTGCAGGAGGGAGAGGGAGGTGGTAACCCCCTGGCATCCTCAAAACACGGAGAATTAGTTTGTGTTGCAGATGCTCATGGGGTTTGGGGTACTATTTTTTAATAATTACTGTGATATGTAGGAGTGCTGTGCAGGTCCCCCGGCGGCGCTGCTGCTGGCTGTGGTGGTGCTGAGCACGTCCCCCTCTCGCTGCCAGCTCCCTCCCAAAGCCCAGAAGGCTGCTTCGGTTCACGTTGTGTATAACATCCAGAAACCAAAATAATCACTCGTCTTAATTGCAGAGATTAGGACCAGGAAAGGGAAGTGGAGCCTTCTGCCAGCATTTGATCTGGCATTTACTAGCTTAGCAAAGGAAACGCGGGGACTGAGCTGCCCTCCCTCTGATACCGAGGTGTTTGAGGCAGCCCTGCGGTGAAGCCTGCTCCTAAAAGGAGGTGCCAGGTGCATCCGAGGGTTGCTGCTTCCCCCCACACCAGCTGAGCTACAGCCAGCACCCTGCCTTCCACCTGGGCTCAGCTTTGCCTAGCTCCCTTGAGCTAGGGAGCCGGGGTGGGGGTCCAGGGCTCTCCCCACCCTGGTCTCGGTCCAAGCATGGGGTGGGAGGTCAGGCCGGGCTCCCAGAGCTGCCCTCTGAAGGGAACCTGGGGAACCTGCTCAGGAGGGGAAGAAGGAGCAGATAGGAAGGAGGGGTGAAGAGGTGGCCGTGGGTGTGCGCCTGGTAATGCCCAAGCCCTGGTGCATTAGTGCAGCAGGTGATTATCCGAGTCAATTAAGCTGCAGGAGATAATCAAACCTGAGCACGCAGGCAGGGAAGAGTCACCCGTGGAGAACAGCAGGCTGCCAGCAGCTGGGAAGGTACATGCTTGAGGACTAGACAAGAATTTAGTGACAAAACTGAAAGGGAAAGGAGGCAGATGAAAAGCAAGCAAGTGCAGCATTTAAAATAACGGAGGAGGTTCTGGATCTCTGAATCCTTCCTTGTCTGCAGTGTGTGAGGGACTGCATGAAGCCTGGCCTCAGCTCTTCTATGTCAGCACCAGTATTCAGACGTGCTTCTGCCCCAAACTGTTGCTCTTCACTTGCTTTGGTGTCACACAGGCACTGCTGCTTACAGGGAAGGCCGTGGCACCACCGACTGCCAGCCCTGAGGAATCACTCAGCAGCTTCCAACTCCTGCAGCTTTCCAGGAAACCCCTCTTCAATGCCACGAGCCACAGCAGAGGTCTTTGGAAACCTGTAGGCAGCTGCATCCCCATGGGGAAGCAACCGGCAGCCCTTGGGGTTATAGTGTTGGGTCTCAGGGTGCCAGCACTGCGCTGCAATTCCCATTCAGTCCCCAGGCAGCAGGCTCCCTGCCGTACTGCCAAAAATAGCTACAGCCCGTAACTCCTTGTTACCTTTTTTACAGTTCCAGGCAGAGGGAAAGGTGGGTCTCCCGTCTGGAATAATGCCTGGCCGATAAATCACTCCGTTAGCCAGCGCCTGGCTTTCAAGAACTGTAACCTGTTTGCACTTCTAATCTTTAAAAAAAAAAAAAAAAAAAAAAAAGAGAGAGAGAAAGAAAAGAAAAAAGAAAGCTGGTTGTTTTATTTTTGACTAACGTTTATTATTGTTGGGCTATAAATCTGTGGCATTCACAGACAAGTTATCAAGCTTTAAAATCATAGATAGACCGATCAGTTCCTCCACTGTTTCCCTGCCAAATCCTTAACCGCTTCTTGGACGAGGAAGAAAAAAAGCATCGCTGTAAATTATTTCTTCCCTGAGGGTATTTATATTGTAGCTGTCGCCAAAGGGATTTTCTCCATTCACCTATCACAGGAGGACTTTTTTTTTTCTTTTCTTTTCTCCAGGCAGAAAGAGAAAGGGCTGTGATGAGTGCTTTCTTCCCCATTTTGGCTGTGTTTTGAGCCTAGCCCATACAGGATTTTGTCATTCCCCTTCCCACCATATGCCTGTGCATGTCTGCAGTGAGGGACTCAACCCTGTAGCAGAGGGGAAGCCTCTTTGCCCAGCCAGAGGCCGTGACCCAGTGCTGTGTTGGCAGGAGGGCACCTTTGGGTGCAGTGGGCACCCCATGGCACAGAAGCAGCCCTGTGGGGCCCGTTGGGCAGCCAGCTGGGAAGCAGGAGGAATATCCCTGCTCACAGGCATTTGGGGTGATGGGGGCTACTCCAGAGACAGGTTGTCCCTCCTGTCCCTGCCTCAGACCCAGGGCCTCTGAAAGGCCTCCAAAACCATCCTATTTCAGAAAACACACAGGCTCCCGGCTGCCCTTCCTGCCAAGCC